CAGAGGATCTGAGGCCCGCTATACTCCAACTGAAAAGGAGATATTGGCAGCATATGAAGGAGTTCGATCTGCTTCGGAGGTGGTCGGTACTGAAGCGCAGCTCCTCCTAGCACCCCGATTGCCGGTACTAGGCTGGATGTTCAAGGGAAGGGTCCCCTCTACGCATCATGCAACTGATGCTACATGGAGCAAGTGGGTTGCACTGATTACTCAGCGGGCTCGAATAGGAAACCCCAGTCGCCCAGGAATATTGGAAGTGATCATGGACTGGCCAGAAGGCAAATACTTTGGGATATCATCAGAGGAGGAGGTGGGTCGTGCTGAAGAAGCCCCACTGTACAACCAATTGCCAGAGAATGAAAAGAAATATGCCCTGTTCACTGATGGGTCCTGTCGTATTGTGGGGAAGCATCGGAGATGGAAGGCTGCTGTATGGAGTCCTACACGACGAGTTGCAGAAGCTGCTGAGGGAGAAGGTGAATCGAGTCAGTTTGCAGAAGTGAAAGCCATTCAGCTGGCTTTAGACATTGCTGAACGAGAAAAATGGCCAGTTCTCTATCTCTACACCGATTCATGGATGGTAGCAAATGCCCTGTGGGGATGGTTACAGCAATGGAAGCAAAACAACTGGCAGCGTAGGGGCAAACCCATCTGGGCTGCTGCATTGTGGCAAGATATTGCTGCTCGGGTAGAGAACCTGGCTGTGAAAGTACGCCACGTAGATGCTCATGTGCCCAAGAATCGGGCTACTGAAGAACATCAAAACAACCAGCAGGTGGATCAGGCTGCTAAGATTGAAGTAGCTCAGGTGGACCTGGATTGGCAGCATAAAGGTGAATTATTTATAGCCCGATGGGCCCATGACACCTCAGGCCATCAAGGTAGAGAAGCAACATACAGATGGGCTCGTGATCGAGGGGTGGATTTGACCATGGACGCTATAGCACAGGTTATTCATGACTGTGAAACATGTGCTGCAATCAAGCGAGCCAAACGGTCAAAGCCTCTTTGGTATGGAGGACAATGGCTGAAATATCAATATGGAGAGGCCTGGCAGATTGATTACATCACACTCCCTCAAACTCGCAATGGCAAGCGCCACGTACTTACAATGGTGGAAGCAACCACCGGATGGCTGGAAACATATCCTGTGCCTCATGCCACCGCCCGGAACACCATCCTGGGCCTTGAAAAGCAAGTCCTATGGCGACATGGCACCCCAGAAAGAATAGAATCAGACAATGGGACTCACTTCCGAAACAACCTTATAGACACTTGGGCCAAAGAACATGGTATTGAATGGGTGTATCACATCCCCTATCATGCACCAGCCTCCGGGAAAGTTGAACGATACAATGGCCTGTTAAAGACTACCTTGAAAGCAATGGGCGCTGGGACGTTCAAAAACTGGGATACGCATTTGGCAAAGGCCACCTGGTTAGTCAATACTAGGGGATCTACCAACCGAGCTGGACCTGCCCAATCAAACCTGTTACGTACTGTAGATGGGGATAAAGTTCCTGTAGTGCATGTAAAAAAATATGCTGGGTAAAACAGTCTGGGCTACTCCTGCCTCAGGAAAAGGCAAACCTATTCCTGGAATTGTTTTCGCTCAGGGACCTGGATACACTTGGTGGGTGATGCAAAAGAACGGAGAGGTCCGGTGTGTACCTCAAGGAGATTTAATACTGGGTGAGAATAGCCCATGAACTGAATTGTACCATGTTAAATAGTATATTATACTGTATGTTATCACTACCATGATTACTATAGGTGACTAATTAGAATGTATGGAAAAGAGTGTAACCTGAGCATGACATAAATGGTATGGAATAAGGGGTGGATAGATGTCCTGGTTTCAGTTAGCACAGAATTAATTTTCTTCCTAGTAGCTGGTGGAATGCTGTGTTTTGGCTTAGGATGAGAAGAGTGCTGATAACACCCCGATGCTTTAATTGTTGCAGAGCAGTGCTTATACTAAGCCAAGGACATCTCAGCCTTTTGCTCTGTCCTGCCAACGGGCAGGCTGGGGGTGCAGTAAGAGCTGGGAGGGGACAGACCCAGGACAGGTGACCCAAACTAGCCAAAGGGGTATTCCATACCATCTGACGTCATGCTAAACAATATATAGGGGTGGCTAGCCGGGGGGAGGGGGCCGGACTGCTCGGGGTTAGGCTGGGCATCGGTCAGCGGGTGGTGAGCAATTGCATTGTGCATCACTTGTTTGTACATACTATTACTTTCGTATTATCACCATTGTATCATTATTATTATTATTGTTATTATTATTTTTGTTATTATTATTTTCCTGTCTTATTAAACTGTCTTTATCTCAACTCACGGGCTTCACTCTCCATTTCTCTCCCCCGTCCCAGAGAGGGAGGGGGGAGGGTGATAGCATTTTGTTTTATGGCAAAACTGGCTTTCAGAAGGATTTGGACTATTTTCTTTCCTTTCTCGAAAACTTCCTCTGCTGTGTCACCATGCCACACAATAATGTCATCGATGTACTGCAGGTATTCAGGAGCTCCTAAGCCAAAACACAGCATTCCACCAGCTACTAGGAAGAAAATTAATTCTGTTCTAAATGAAACCAGGACAGCTCACTCAAGGATAGAGACCGAGTAGTTTCTGATTCATCTATGATTTCAGTCTCTTCTCCGTGATGTTGCCGTGATGACGCTGCTTTAGAGCTGCCTGCCTTTTCCTCTTCTCCCTCATCCTTAGGAGGAGCTTCTTCCCTTACTAAATGACCTGATCTCCGTTTCCACTGTTTTGTCTTTACTATAGGGGCGACTGATACCATAGATGGTCGGTCCTCTGGGGTGGTCACAGTGTGTGCTGTCTCATCATCAAATTCAGGAAACTCCCTATCCTCTTGAGGGTGCTGGGCAATGTTAATTGACATTTGATAGGCGTAAGCCAGACCCCAGCAGAGTGCAGCAAGCTGGTGGTGCAGCAAGCATATGTCTTTCAAACATTCTACCAGTTTTCTTGGATTTTGCACTTGTTCAGGGGTGAAATTAAGGACCATCGGAGGAGAAAACCGTGACAGGTACCTGCCCAAATCCCCCCACACACCTTGCCACCCACAACTATTTTGTCTGGGGACAGGTCCTTGGATAATATTCTTAATAAATTGCTTTACCTTGGGGAAGAAGACAAACACTTGACCTAGTAATAGGAGGATAATATCTGACCAAGGGTATCCAAGATACTGAAAGGCTGCTGTAATTAGCCCACAGGGAGAAAAGTAGAAGGCACTACCCCCGATATTATTCACTGATTGACTGCTAGGGGCAAAACAGAAGGCGCTGTAATTCTTAATATTTTCAAAAAGATCATCTCCATGAGACCAGGAAGATAACAATGCCAGGCCTGAATACCAAACAAAACTGAAGGGCAGTATGTTACAGCACAACATGATAAAAAAAAAAAAACAAGCACAGACTTCAACACTTTCTCCGATCGGATATAAAGGAAAAAAGAAAACAGAGAGTGGACTACATACAACATAGCCACACAGAAAAATATTACCAGAAAACCGAACATTATGACTACCAGTATGTTAGTTGTCAATACTTCAATCAATGCTATTGTTATCTCAACCCTTGAGCCCCACGTTGGGCGCCAAAAAGGACTGTGGTTGTTTTACTCAGGTGGGCAGCCGAGCTCCACCACAACTGCTCTCTCACTCCCCCTCTCCTCAAAGAGGAAGGGGGAGAAAATGCAACACAGAGTGTTGAGGGATTTTTTGAAACAGCAAAAAATCCCATGGCTTGCTGCAGCTGAGCAAACCAAGCTACCAGGGCAACTATGAGAAGTTCCCATGACAGTGTTCCCACATCGCCCGATTGAGGAATTTAGAAAAATATTGTTACCAGCCTCTGGCTTCAAGGACAAGGTCTATGTGACTGCTAATCACAAGGGGGTTGTTTTCGTGCAGGTGGGGTTGTTTTCTTGTAGTTGTTTGTCTGAGTGCTTTTGACCAATAATCTTGTGTGAGACACTATCCGCCCCTGTTAAGTTCACTATAAAAGTTAGGCTATTTGGGCAATAAAATGGAGCATGATCTGACTCTACTGGTGTCTGTCGTGCTTTCGGCCGTGCTTCCTGCAACATATGGCGCTCGAACAGGCTGAGACCCGGACTCGCTGAGACCCGAACAGGCCGGGAGACCGGAGCGGCGCCGAGAGACCCGAGGCACACGGAGGGACTACTGCCGCACGGAGAGAACCCTGAGAGACGCTGCAGAGCCACGGACAGCTCTGAGAGACACGGAGAGACCTGGCAGAAGCCGGAACACCTGAGAGACATTGAGAAACTCCAAGCATCGACCCGGACAAAGGACTCGCAGTGAGACGCGGAGAAAGAAACCGCGGGGGGACGCGGGGAAAGAAACCGAGGGGAGACGCGGGGAAAGGAAACTGCAGGAAACGCGGGAGCCGCGGGAAACGCGGGAGCCGCGGTGGGACGCGGGAAATTGACGTCATCGCGGTGCGACGCGGGACGTTCGGGATCGAGTTGCTACGGGAGATCAGAGGCGTCAGTGGACAACGGCAGCCGACCCTCACCGTGTGGCGAGTTGGCACATAGCAGAGGGGCGGAGACCACAACCCTGCAGCCTGTCTGACGTAACCATGGAGGCAGCGGCGGCTGTGCTGCTTCTCTCTAGCATTCTTTTTATGAGAGGCTTATCTTGCAATGCAAAAAAGACTATTCGTCCCCAGATCGGTGTTATAACTATGTTCCTGGATAACATTCCGTGGGGTTGCCACATTGTACGGATTACTAATGATGACTTAGCTCTATTATTACCTTTATTGTGGAGTAGGAGTGCAGAGATGCAGATTACACTAACAAATGACCACTGGCAGGCTCTTTCACAAACAGCTTCTAAGGTTGCAGCAGGCACTGCCTGCAGCCGTATAGCAGACGTTACACTCTCTTTCCTAATTAGCAATCATGTGTCTCATCCATTTGTGGTGAATGGTCAGTGGCAAAAAGAAAATGGGGAGAGTAAGGGGCGACAAAGACAGAAATGGTACCAGGAGGATGCCACTGACACTAACAGCATGAGTAATAGGAGTAGTATAAGTGACACAGGTGGCAGTGCGGGGTGGTGGCGGGCGCTGCCGCGCTGCGGGGCGCTCTGCCTGCTGCTTGCCCTTGCCTGCCTGTGCGCTGCTGCCGACGGTGCTAGAGCAAAATGTGAAGAATCCCAGTTCCTGTGTAGTAATGGACGCTGTATTCCTTTACTCTGGAAATGTGATGGTGATGAAGACTGCTCAGACGGCAGTGATGAGAGTGCTTGTGTGAAGAAGACGTGTGCTGAATCTGACTTTGTGTGCAACAGTGGTCAGTGTGTGCCAAACAGATGTCAGTGTGATGGGGATCCGGACTGTGAAGATGGGTCTGACGAGAGTGCTGAGCTGTGTCATATGAGAACGTGTCGGGTAAATGAAATCAGCTGTGGTCCTCAGTCAACCCAGTGTATCCCAGTGTCCTGGAAATGTGATGGTGAAAAAGACTGTGACAGTGGAGAAGATGAAGAGAATTGTGGCAATGTGACTTGTAGTGCAGCAGAATTCACATGCAGTAGTGGGCAATGTATTTCCAAAATCTTTGTCTGCAATGGTCAAGATGACTGCAGTGATGGTAGCGCTGTGCACCTTCTACCTGTGGTGTTCATGAGTTCCAGTGCAAGAGTTTTACCTGCATCCCTATCAGCTGGGTGTGTGATGATGATGCTGACTGCTCCGACCACTCGGATGAATCTTTGGAGCAGTGTGGCCGCCAGCCTGCACCTCCGGTGAAGTGTTCTGCGAGTGAGGTGCAGTGCGGCTCAGGTAAATGTATCCACAAGAAGTGGCGATGTGACGGAGATCCTGATTGCAAGGATGGAAGTGATGAAATTAACTGCCCTTCTCGGACCTGCAGGCCAGACCAGTTCAGATGTGAAGATGGGAACTGTGTCCATGGGAGTGGGCAGTGCAGTGGTGTGAGAGACTGTCTGGATGGCACTGATGAAGCAAACTGTAACAATGTTATTCAGTGCTCTGGACCTGGCAAATTCAAGTGCAGAAGTGGAGAATGCATAGATATCAATAAAGTGTGTAACCAGCAGAGAGACTGCAAGGACTGGAGTGATGAGCCCCTGAAGGAATGCAACATAAATGAATGTTTGGTGAACAACGGTGGATGCTCCCACATCTGCAGAGATTTCATTATTGGCTATGAATGTGACTGTCCAGCTGGGTTTGAGCTTGTAGACAAGAGAAACTGTAGAGATATTGATGAATGCCAAAACCCTGGTATCTGTAGTCAAATCTGTATCAACCTGAAAGGTAGCTACAAATGTGAATGTAGCCGTGGCTATCAGATGGATCCTGCTACAGGAACCTGGAAAGGGCCATATGGGTACAGAAATACAAATAACACCTGTGATTACAATGACACTGCTAAGCAGGGTGTAGGGGTTTATGGCACGGAGACAAGGGGTAACAACTATAGTATTTGGAACAATTGTACAGCTTTGGCCTTACCTCCTGATGTTTTTCTGATTTGTGGGGATAGGGCCTGGCAAGGTATTCCTGCAAATGCTATCGGATGTCCATGTTACTTAGATAAACTCATTATATTTGCTCCTAGCTTGTCACAGTTGCGTGAGATCACCAGACATAAATGGGCATTGCTTGCACTGGATAGCAATGATAATGCTGAATTGCTTGGTGATGCAGCTAGAGCGGCATTGGCAATTTTAGTGCCAGGAGTGGCATCTGTGGCCACACTTAAGAACTTAGAAAAATTGGTATGCTGGGCCGAGAAGCAAGCCCATGCCACGACAGAGATACTTGAGGAGATGTTACCAGATCAAAATAGTCTGCGACATGTGATCTTACAGGATCAAGCCGCTATTGTCTTCTTGCTTTTGGCTCAAAGGCATGGGTGTGAGGACTTTGAGGGAATGTGCTGTTTGAACCTTTCTGATCATAGTGAGTCAATTCACAAATCCATTACTTTCCTGAAAGAGCACATGAGAAAGATTCAATATGATATCAATCCTTTCAATCAATGGTTCACTGATTTGTTTGAAACGATGCATAGATGGTTACTGGGATCAATCAAAGAGGGATTGAGGATTCTGTTTGTTGTGGTGTTAATCATCATTGCATGTTGTATTGTAATAAATGTGGTTAAAGGGTTATGGGAACAGCACTGATATCACTCCAGTGTTGTGTCTATTGCTGCGTAGTGCTGGCACAGCATCAGGACTCCTTCCAAGCCCCCAAGAGCCAGCAGGCTGGGGGTGGGCAAGTGATGGGGAGGGGACATCGCCAGGGCAGCTGACCTAAACCAACCAAAGGGATATTCCATAACACCTGATGTCACACTCAGCAGTAAGAAGGGGATATCTCATGAGGGCTGTCCTCCTGAACAACCGCTACGCGTTTTGAGGCCCTTCTTCAATAAGCCCACGTGGCCTTATTGTTTCTTTTCTTTCTTTTTCTCCCCTTTCCCTTTAATTAAACCTTTCTCATCTCAAACCTCGAGCTCTTTGTGTTGTATTTTCTCCCCCTTCCTCCTCCTTCCCCTCCAAATTGTGGCCAGCAGGTTGAGGGATGTGCTTCTCCCCTTCTACTCTGCTCTCCTGAGACCCCACCTGGAGTACTGTGTTCAGCTCTGGAGCCCCCAGCACAAGAAGGACATGGAAGTATTAGAAGAAGTCTGGAGGAGGGCTACAAAGATGATCAAGGGGCTGGAGCACATCTCCTGCGAAGACAGGCTGAAGGAGTTGGGGTTGTTCAGCTTGGAGAAGAGAAGGCTTCGGGGAAACCTTATAACAACCTTCCAGTACCTAAAGGGGGCCTACAGAAAAGCTGGAGAGTGATTCTTTTTTGGGGAGTGGAGTGATAAGACAAAGGGTAATGGCTTTAAACTAAAAGAGGGTAGATTTAGATTAGATATTTGGAATAAATTCTTTACTCTGAGGGTGGTGAAGCACTGGAACAGGCTTCCCAGAGAAGTTGTGGATTCCCTATCCCTGGAAGTATTTAAGGCCAGGTTGGATGGGGCTTTGAGCAACCTGGCCTAGTGCAAGATGCCCCTGCCCATGGCAGGGGAGATGGAATTAGATGATCTTTAAGGTCCCTTTCAACTATGATTCTGTGATACTATGATCACACAGCACAAACAAGACAATTGAGTCATTAAACAGCCATGGGTTTATCACAGAATCACAGAGTCACAGAACTGTAGGGGTTGGAAGGGACCTCGAAAGATCATCGGGTCCAACCCCCCTGCCAAAGCAGGTTCCTCAGAGCAGGCTGCCCAGGTAGGCATCCAGACAGGCCTTAAATATCTCCAGAGAAGGAGACTCCACAACCTCCCTAGGCAGCCTGTTCCAATGCTCCATCACCCTCACCGTGAAGAAGCTCTTTCGCATGTCAGTGCGGAACTTCCTGTGTTCTAACTTGCAGCCATTGCCCCTTGTCCTATCCCCACAAACCACTGAGAAGAGGTTGGCTACATCCTTCTGTCCCCCACCCATCAGATATTTATACACATTGATGAGATCCCCTCTCAATCTTCTTTTCTCCAGGCTGAACAGACCCAGGTCTCTCAGCCTTTCCTCATAAGGAAGATGCTCCAGGCCCTGTATCATCTTTGTGGCCCTCCGCTGGACTCTTTCCAGGAGATCCCTGTCTTTCTTGTACCGGGGAGCCCAGAACTGGACACAGTACTCCAGGTGAGGCCTGACCAGGGCAGAGTAGAGGGGGAGGATCACCTCCCTTGACCTGCTGGCCACACTCCTTTTAATGCCCGCCAGGATCCCATTAGCCCTCTTGGCCACAAGGGCACACTGCTGGCTCATGGTCAACCTGTCGTCTACCAGGACCCCCAGGTCCTTCTCCTCAGAGCTCCTCTCCATCAGGTCGTCCCCCAGCCTGTACTGATACTTCGGGTTGTTCCTTCCCAGGTGCAGGACTCTACGCTTGCTCTTATTAAATCTCATTTGGTTTCTTCCTGCCCAGCTCTCCAGATGGTCCAGTTCTCGCTGAATGGCAGCACAGCCTTCTGGCGTGTCAGCCCCTCCTCCCAGCTTTGTGTCATTGGCGTACTTGCTGAAGGCAGACACTATTCCCTCATCAAGGTCGTCGATGAAGATGTTGAACAAGACCAGACCCAACACCGACCCCTGGGGAACACCGCTAGTCACAGGCCTCCAGCCAGACTCTGCTCCTCCGATCACCACCCTCTGAGCTCGGCCAGTCAGGCAGTTCTCAACCCAACTTATTGTCCACTCCTCTATCCCACACTTTCTCAGCTTTGCCAGTAGGATGTCATGGGAGACAGTATCGAAAGCCTTGCTAAAGTCAAGGTAGATGACATCCACCGCTCTCCCCTCATCTACCCATCTGGTGATGCCATCATAGAAAGCAACGAGGTTGGTCGAGCACGACTTCCCCTTGGTGAATCCATGCTGACTACTCCTCATAACCTTCTTCTCTTCCAATTGCTTGGAGATGGCATCCAGAACAAGCTGTTCCAACACCTTTCCAGGGACAGAGGTGAGACTGACTGGTCTGTAGTATCCCGGATCCTCCTTCCTGCCCTTCTTGAAGACCAGAGTGACATTGGCTATCCTCCAGTCTTCAGGCACCTCACCTGTTCTCTAGGACCTTTCGAAGATGATAGAGAGCGGTTCGGCGATCACATCTGCCAGCTCCCTTAGCACACGTGGATGCATCCCATCGGGACCCATGGATTTGTGTGCGTTGAGGCCACTCAGACACTTCCGAACCACTCCCTCATCAACCAGGGGGGAGCCCTCCATTTCCCAGACCCTTTGTCCTATTGCCAGGGGCAAGGAGTCCCAGGGGAGTGTCCTTGAAGCAAAGACTGAAGCAAAGAAAGCATTCAGTATCTTTGCCTTCTCAGCTTCTCCCGTGACAAGGACACCCTCCTCGTTCAGCAAGGGACCCACATTGTCCATAGTCTTCCTTTTACTGTTTACATACTTGAAAAAACCCTTCTTATTATCCTTTACCTCTTTCGCAAGCCTCATCTCTAGGTGGGCTTTAGCCTTCCTCGTCGCGTCCCTGCAGGCGCTGACAACACATCTATACTCCTCCCAAGAGGACAGGCCCTTTTTCCACATTTCATAGACCGTCCTCTTCCTTTTGATCTTATTGATGAGCTCCTTGCTCATCCACACGGATTTCCTGCCCCCCTTCCCCAATTTCCTGTTCCTCGGGATGCACTGACCCTGAGCATGGAAGTGCTGCTTAAATCACTTGCCCACCCCCAGCCTTCTGGCTCTTGGGGGCTTGGAAGGAGTCCTGATGCTGTGCCAGCACTACGCAGCAATAGACACAACACTGGAGTGATATCAGTGCTGTTCCAGCTAGGAGTGCAGAGCACAGCACTGTGTGGGCTGCTGCAGGGAAAAGGTGACTCCAGCTCAGAAAGACCCAACACATATGGACATGGAGGGAATCAAAGTTACAACCTGAGCGGGATGGACCATTCCAAGTACTCCTGACTACTGAGATGACAGTAAGAACAGCTGAGAAATGGTGCACTCATTACATCCAGGTGAAGGCAACAGTTGACCCTGAGACCTGAGAGACTGTTCCTGCAGGAGAACCTTTAAAATTAAAAAATAAAATAAATAAAAATAAAAATAAAAATAAAAATAAAAATAAAAATAAAAATAAAAAATAAAATAAAAATAAAAATAGGAGGAGGTGTGAATCAGTTGTAAACTGACTTTTAATTTCTCCTTGGGAAAAAATAATGAACTTGTTGTGGTTTAATAATTATTAATAATAAGAATGGTACCCTTGAGGTAGGGAAATATCTGTACTGACCAAGTGCATCCAGGTCCCTGAGAAAAGCAATCCCACGAATGGGTTTGCCTTTTCCTGAGGCAGAAGTAGCCCAGAATGTTTCTTATGCACACTACAGGAACTTTATCCCCTTCTACAGTACGTAACAGGTTTGACTGAGCAGGTCCAGCTCGGTTGGCAGATCCCCTAGTATTGACTAACCAGTTGGCCTTTGCCAAATGCATATCCCAATTTTTGAATGTCCCAGCACCCATTGCTTTCAATGTAGTCTTTAACAGTCCATTGTATCGTTCAACTTTCCCAGAGGCTGGTGCATGATAGGGGATGTGATACACCCACTCAATACCATGCTCTTTGGCCCAAGTGTCTATAAGGTTGTTTTGGAAAGAAGTTAAGAAATGATGCTGTCGGATAACCCGACCAAAAGGCCCTGGGACAAACGGACACAACGACCAGTGTTCTGTGCCGTAAGCCCATTTATTGCTGTGTGACAGTATCTTATATAGTGCCAAAGCGTCCCACCCAGGAACCCAGGACCCCTCCCATTGTGCTCGCAGGCACCCCAGACCCTTCCCCTCGTGCACGCAGGCACGACCCAGAATAACCCCACATCTCCCCCCTCTTTATGCACGTACCCCCTTTAACCCATTACGCTAAGCGTGATTTAATCATAACTACTTAGGGACGAGTATCCATCCCAGGAGCAAGTGGTGATAATGGGAACTCCTCGTGATTTTTGGCGAGAATGGTCAGCATGCTGCAATTCATTATACTGCTTCTAGCTATTTTTGCTTTTATACATGAATATACTAGCCCTATCACAATGAATACTATTACTAGTAGCAATATTGTTTGCAAAAGCGATTTAAGCCATCCTTCTAGATGAAGGCCTAGCCCCTCGAGAGTTGCCCCCAGCCAATTCTGTTCTGCGTCACGCTGCTCTTCTTTTATTTTGGATTCTACCTGGGCTAGTTGGGATATGTCACGTTCTACATTGGCAGTTACATTCGGAATGTGTATACAGCAATGGTCAGCCTTTTCTTTCAGGTATCCACAGACACCATGTTCTTTTAACAAAAGCATATCCAGGGCCAACCTATTCTGCAGGGTCATTCTTGTTGTGGTTTGTAACTGTATATTCAAGTCCTTAAACCCCTTTCTGGTAATGCTGGCCAATCTATGTACTTGCCCCATCAAATTGTAAATCAGCTCTATGTTGTGGTAGGAAGCTATCGGGGCAAACAACGATTCTGCCATCCATCCAAATTTAATCCCAGTGGACGGTTCCTGCCACCCATCATTTTCTTCACTTACTTCTCTTTTTGTCCTTCTCCTTATGAGAGAGGATTTCTTCCAAAGTGGGAAAAGAGTGGGCAATCCTAAAGTTATTTCTTTTACTGGGCCATCCAAACTTAAATGAGTTGTCCAAGTTCCATCACTGGCGGCCCACACAAAATGTCCCATGCTTCGTATAGTTGAAGATTTACAATTCACTAAGATCTTTTCCCTACCAGTCTGGCTGGCTATATTCAGATTGGTGATACTCATGTTAACTTGTAGACCTCTGCATGCACATCCGGTGGCTAAGGCTATCTTTACCGGGAGCAGAGATATTGTTTCTAAAGCAGTGTCACAATTGAATATTTGTGTACAATTCCACCACGGGACTGCCTTTACCCTCTCCCGACTACTAGTTTCCCTCTGAGCTGTCTCATATAGTAAACTCTGGTCACTATTCGTCCTTCCTACCCATTGCAAACACCAAGAAGTATTCCCCCCATATTGGTATTTCTGCAGTATACTTAATGCCCATGCTGACTCCCAACCCTCTAATCCACCTATCTCATTACCTTCTTTGCACTTCCATATAACCTTTTCCTTTTGTCGTGTGCATGGTGCATCATACCCACACATCCCTAGTCGTCCATCCTCGTTGTCTAGGTCCGTAAATATGTAATTTCTTTCCTTTTTACACCAAGGATAAAGGCGAATCTTACACTTTCTATAAAACCCTCCCAGCATTTCTGTCTCTATGATTGTTTCCGATTCACATTGGACTGTTTTGTTTTTCTCAATCTGGGGTATCGATGATGTGATTATGCCCCAGGGTATAGGACCACCTGCGGATTTAGGTATAGGTAAACAAGCGGTCACTTGACTCACATTCTGCATTTTTGCGAAATCTCTAATTAACCCTATCATTAAATTTTCCTCTTGATTGCTCCTTGCTTGCTGTGTGTACTGAGCTGACCTTTTATCTCTCATTTATAACAACACCGGAATTTTAGAGACTCTTCGGGTTGCTCGTGGGCTGCGAGCAGTGCGATGCGGCCACAATAGCAGACCCATAGAGCACAAACCAAGTGTCCTGTTAGCTGGGATCACCTTCCAAGCACGTTTCTGAGAACAGAGCAACCAATAGGGGTTAGGTAAACGCCAATGAGCAGAGTTCGAAACTTGTACGATGCGGACCGATTGATAAGGGGCCGTCGCATGGCTATTTACAGTCCAAACATCCCCAGGGAAAAAGTCCACCGGTGCAGGAGCTTGGCCCAGTGGCCCCACCCACAACCAGGCCACCGACTGATTGCGCACCATGGTCTTAACTGTCCACGGCGGAACGGTCACATCCGCTATTGTCCCATTGTCCCAAATGTCAATGGAGCCGCACAATTGCGCCACCGGCAGAACGGTTTCTTTTCCGTCCTCCGTCGCATGCGTGGTGCTGTCTGATGACAAGAGTGTTTCATGTGTCAGATTGATACCTGCCTGCACGGTGGCATCGATATGGATGGTAGTCAGCTTCCTTCCCTGGCAAGTAACAGGCGGGAACAGTCCATGAAGTGTCCCGTTGGGTACTGGCTCAGCAGACCGTAGGTTGTAAGCGTATGGCGTTGGAAACAGCGGAGCGGTCCAGTAGCCCACAGCATACTCCTGCCAGTAGCCCCTGTACACTGCAGGGCACAAGGCAAGGACAAGCAGGAGTCGCTGTAAAGGGGAGAAAATGACTTACTCATTTCCTGTTCCTTTGAGTCCGCCAGCTCAGGGAACGGACGTACCCATCGTGCTGGAACCCATCGAACCCCCGATGGTAGTTGTACACAGGTGTAACCCCGACCCATAACTAACAGGGGTACCGGATCCCGATTCCACGGCCCACCATCCAGGCGTACCTGAACAACCCCTAAAGGTGCGCGTTCTGTCATAGCATGGTCTGCGGATCGACCTTCCAAATGATTTAAACTAAAAAGGGCCTTTAATAACAAAGCATGTGGACAGGAATCTCCATAGCCAGTCGCCTCCATTCCCCCCTCTTTAAGGGCATTGAGGCGAGCTTTCAAAGTCAGATGAGTACGCTCAATAATGGCTTGCCCAGTAGAATTATGCGGAATACCCAAGATATGAGTGATGCCCCAGCTGCAACACCATTGGCCAAAGAGCCGACTAGTGTAGCCTGGACCATTATCTGTTTTTAGAGTGTGCGGAATGCCCATGACCGCTACTGCAATGCGCAGGGCATGAATGCACTCTCGAGCTTTCTGTGCTGTGAGAGCAGTAGCCCACATCATACCACTACAGGTATCCACTGCGACGTGGAGAAACCGGAAACGTCCGAAAGGCGCATATTCTGTGACGTCCATCTGACACAGCTTGTTGGGTTGTTGTTATGGTTTAACCCAGCCGGCAGCTAAGCACCACACAGCTGTTCGCTCACCCTCCCCCCTCCCTCTCTGGGAGATGGGTAAACTAAAGCAAGATGGGTAACCTTGTCATGAAAAGAAATTAAGTTAGTCAAGCAGGACTTTCCCGTACACTGCAGGGCACAAGGCAAGGACAAGCAGGAGTCGCTGTAAAGGGGAGAAAATGACTTACTCATTTCCTGTTCCTTTGAGTCCGCCAGCTCAGGGAGCAGCTGTTCCTTTGAATCCGCCTGCTCAGGGAACGGACGTACCCAGTGCTCGTGATCGTGAGGCTACTAGCAGCTACTCATAGAAGGCCTCATCGACTTCCTCCTCCTGATCTGGAGACCTGTAGTAGACCCCTACCACCGTGTCTCCCATACCAGCCCACCCCTTAATTCTTACCCACAAGCTCTCCACTTGTCCTTCACCCTCCCCCAGGTGGAGCTGGGTACACTCTAATTGCTCCCTCACATAAAGGGCACTTTAGGGAAGGAGCAGGTGCAGTTACCCCTGGGGGGATGCAAGAAGATGATACTGGACAGGGGATCGGGAACGCTACCTTCTCTGAGAAGCCCTCAGACAATCCTATGGGAGAGCTCAGAAGTTTTTCCCTGTCTTCAACAGGGTCAGCAGTGACAACTTCCCCCAGCCCTTCTCTGTCACCTTTAGCTCCCCTCCCTTCCCCCATCAAACCTAGTTTAAAGCCCTGGAAATCAGCCCAGAGAGCTTGTTCCCCAACACACTTGCGCCCCACTTGCTCAGTTGGTGTCTGTCCGTAGCCCACATACCCGGACTCTCAAAGGACGGCCCAAGATCAAAATACCCAAATCCCTGGTCCAGACACCACCCCCTCAGCCAGTCATTTACCTGTCCTGTTTTGCTCCTTCTATCTGCATCCCAGTCACCCAGGGACTATTTCCCAGGGACACCATGGGGGTAGGTGGCATTGTGGGTGTCAGGGGCAGACGTCTCATTTTGCTCCGAGCCGAGACAAGGGTCCAGCCCCTTGTCTCTTGCGGACAGTTTAGCCCTCTGTTCCGCATGTGTTCAACGGGGGCAGCCTCTATCCCTTGTCGGGACATAGGAGAGGGCTGCCGAGCAACAGCAGGGGCAGGGAGGCCCCTCCTATCTGTCACCCTCAGAGACTCCCTCAGGCTGCCGATTTCTCGCTGCAGCCCAGCCACCTGCTTGAGGAGTCCCTGAAGCAGGGCACACCTGCACCCGTGACAGCACTCTCCTCCCTCATGGCCCAGATGGACCTCCAGATTCCGGAGTTCCCCACAGTCACCTGTCTGGACTGCCACCTCCCCCCTCAGGGGATCCACCTGGGTGCCCACATGAGCCCAGAGAGGCAGCATCTCCTCCGTTTGGGTTGCCACCTCGGACTGACCGCTGTAACAGGTGCCCACCATGGCGAGGTCTAGGTTCTCCTCCCTGCCCCGCTTGAACTGCCTGTGCTAACTGCCAAACTGGTCCTGTTAGCGCATCCTGTTAGTGGTGCTCCTGGGTCACGGTGCTCCCTAGGGACTACTTTTATAGTGCCGGGGGGTGGGTGGGCTGTTGTCACCCCTGGCTCCAGCCTCAGCACGTCAGCACCCACAGCGGCACAAGCACAGCTCCTGCCTGTTCGGGGGGGGGGGGGGGGGAGGCTGGGGCTGCGGCTCTGTTCTGCGTTATTGGGGGGTATCGAATGACGATAGGGCCAAAAGTCTTCCTCGCTGCTAAACTTTTGACCCTTTCACTCATTTAAAGACTTCAGCAGTCCAAGTCAGTTCTTGCTGGTTCTATTATCTGTGTGTATGGGGTCTTTTCCTCCCTTATCTTGCTGGTATGGAGTCTTCTCCTCCCTTATCTTCAGGGTCCTCCCGTTGATATTCCCTATATCAGTCCTGTGAGAAACTAAGTTGTGTTTTTGCAGTTGAACGTGTTTTTGAAGTAGAGTGTTTTTTTTTTTCTTTTTGTTTGTTGTTTTTTTGTTGTTGTTTGTTTGTTTTTTTCAGTAGAAACTAACCTTCCGTATTCAAAAGTAGTTGTGTAGTCAGAACAAAGAGAAATGCCAAGTAGATAAGTGGACAGTAGAAGGCCTCACTGTTCCCCAATAAGGTAGAAGCTTGAGAAAAACAGGATGAGCAGCGTGAGAACAGTAAAAAACAAAGATCACAAGCTCTCAAAATATAAGAAAGGGATGTGAGGAATGTTTTAGCAATTCGTGTCAATAGAGAACTTGAAGGGAAATGTATTTATAGACTTTTCCTTGAAGTCTCTGATATCTGGGAGTTTTCAGAACGACTGCTAACTATTATGACTATTGCATGGGGCACTATGCATGTCTCGGATATCTGACCAGGAGATTAAGAAAGCTGAAGGACAACTAGAAGACAAAGCTTGCAGGGGACACTGCGCAAGTCTCTGACATCCGGCCAAGATGGACAAAGGAGACGACAAGGAAAAAGCCTGGGAGGAAGACTATGAGCCTTCAGCACGAGAAACCCCCAGAGAGACCCCCAGAGACTGATACGCATGCTCCAGTAGGAGGGTTTTGATTCCGGAAACTAATTAAGATAAGCCTGTTTTTTCTAGAAGTAGTAATGAATATGTATTAGCCTAGGAGCATAAAAATCAGCTGCTTGATGTAACTGGTGTGCATCTTGGTGGAACAGAGACTCCCGGTGCACCCAGCACTGTTTGCTTACCTCTATTCCTTTAATAAATTGTAAACTTTGATTATAGTCCTATTTTGAAGACTGAGCCATTTATAACAGGGGGAAAAAAAAGGAAAAAGGAGAAATTAAAGGGTTGATCAAAAAAAAAATTGTACATATATGGTATAGAGGAGTGTCAAGTAGCTTGTGAACCTGTAGTACTCAGCCAATGAGGAAACAGGGGAGGTGATCAGGTGTCAGGTAATAGGGAATAAAAGGTTATGATTTGTTTACCAAAATGCGCTCCTGATTGACAGGACACCCGCCATTGCAATTGCGAATAAAATAGCTTCACAGAAGATCCTGTCTGAAGAAAATTATTTGAGATTTTTCTCACAGCTATCAAAAGGGACTTTAGGGCTTTGGGGCAACTAGTTAAAGGATCAGGGGCACAGGTTGTGTTTGCCTCTGTCCTTCCGAGAGGAGGGATCAATGTTGACAAGCAGACTCATTTTATTAATACGTGGCTTCAGGACTGGTGCAACTGGCAGAACTTTGGGTTTGTTGATCATGGGAAGGTCTATACAACATTAGGCCTGCTGGCACCAGATGTGATGTGCCTCTCTCAGAGAGGGGTAAGGATTTTTGCCCAGAGTTAGCATGGCTGATCGATAGGGCTTTAAACTAGAGTCGAAGCGCGAAAGGGATAAAATCAGGCCCAATGGTGATGAGCTAAGGGATGGTGCACTAGAATCAGAGGGACTGTGTGCCAGTGAGGTCCTTCGGTCTGCTCCACGAGGTGCTGCATGCAATGAGGTGCATTTGAAGTGCTTCTACACAAATGCACGCAGTATGAGGAATAAAATGGACGAGCTAGAAGTCTTGGCCCAGTACCACAGCTATGACATCATCAGCATAAGCGAAACCTGGTGGGATGAGTCCTGTGGCTGGTGTGTTGCAATAGATGGTTACAGGCTCTTCAGGAGGGACAGGCAGGGCAGGCAAGATGGGGGGGAGAGTGGCGATGTACGTGAAGGAGGGGCTGGACTGTGTGGAAGTTCAAGTTGGCGAAAGTTGAAGTTGACTGTGTGGAACTTGAAGTTGACTAAACTTGAAGTTTAGTCACCACATATCTGTCGCAGGTAAGGAATCTCTTGACCTTGAGAAGTAACCTTGGGAGGTGTCTCTGCTCAAGGGGAAGATCCTGGCATGCAGCCTGCTGTAGTACAGGAGAGCTCAATGGGCTCTGGGCTTTCCCCTATCTATGGGGTAAGATGACTGACTACTAGTCATATTTGCATGCCAGCCATATTTTGTTGGTGCATGATCCATTAGCCTTTGGGTCTATCTCCCCCGAATCCACCTTGATCCTGGTTCAACTATCACAGCCCGATGCATTCATCACAGTCACCACTGATGGTTAGTGCCCTACCAGGGATACGGGTGAAAGGTCAACTTAGGGAGGGGCACGAGGAGTACACTGCTGTTGTGGTTTAACCCAGCTGGCAGCTAAGCACCACACAGCCGTTCACTCACCCTCCCCCCTCTCTCTCTGGGATGGGGGAGAGAATCAAAAAAAAGTGAAAGCTTGTGGATTGAGATAGACAGTTTATTAGGACAGAAAATAAAGGAAAATAATAATGATAATAGTACTATTAATAATAATGTGTACAAAACAAGGGATGCACAATGCAATTGCTCACCCGCTGACCAATGCCCAACCTATCCCCAAGCAGCCGGTCCCCCCCCACCCCAGCCAGTCCCCCCATAATAATTGTTCAGCATGACATCAGATGGTATGAAATACCCCTTTGGCCAGTTTGGATCAGCTGTCCTGGGTCTGTCCCCTCCCATCTCCTGCTGCACCCCCAGCCTGCCCGCTTGCAGGATAGTGCAAGAAACTGAAAAGTCCTTGGCTTAGTGTAAGCACTGCTCTGCAACAACTAAAACATCAGTGTGTTATCAACATTATTCTCATCCTAAATCGCAAACACAGCACCCTACCAGCTAATAGAAGGAAAATTAACTCTATCCTAACTGAAATCAGGACAACCGCCTAAGGTATTCCCTGCACCATCATACAGATTATTAACGATGTTGAACAGGACTAGACTGAATTTTTATCCCTGGGGTACTCCACTAGTTGCTGGCCTCCAACTAAACTTTGTGTCACTGACAACCACCCTCTGGGCCAGGCCATTCATCCAGTTTTTAATCCACCTCACTGCCCATCTAACCTGAACATGAATGGCTTGCCTATGAGGATCTTATGAGGGACAGTGTCAAAGGCCTTACTGAAGTACAGGAAGACTATATCCGCTGCTCTCCCCTCATCCATCAGGCTCACCATTTCATTGTAGTTGCTTATCAGGTTGGTCAAGCATGACTTCCCCTTGGTGAATCCATACTGGCTACTCCTGATGACTTTCTTGTCCTTCGTGACCTCTTGTCCTTTCCCTTCCCTCCTCCTGTATCCTGGGCTGCATCAAAAGAAGCATGACCAGCAGGCTGACAGAAGTGATTCTCCCCCTCTACTCTGCTCTTGTTAGACCTCACATGGAGTAGTGCATCCAGCACTGGGGCCCCAGCACAACAAGGATGTGGACCTGTTAGAATGAGTCCAGAGGAGAGCCACTGTCCTGGTTTAACCCGGCTGGCAGCTAAACACCACGCAGCCGTTCGCTCACCCTCCCCCCTCCCTCTCTGGGACGGGGGAGAGAAATGGAAAGTGAAACCCATGAGTTAAGATAAAGACAGTTGAATAAGACAGGAAAATAATAATAACAAAAATAATAACAATAATAATAATAATAATACAATGGTGATAATAGGAAAGTAATAATAATATGTACAAACAAGTGATGCATAATGCAATTGCTCACCACTCGCTGACCGATGCCCAGCCTAACCCCGAGCAGTCCGGCCCCCTCCCCCCGGCTAGCCACCCCTATATATTGTTTAGCATGACGTCAGATGGTATGGAATACCCCTTTGTCTAGTTTGGGTCACCTGTCCTGGGTCTGTCCCCTCCCAGCTCTTACTGCACCCCCAGCCTGCCCGTTGGCAGGACAGAGCAAAAGGCTGAGATGTCCTTGGCTTGGTATAAGCACTGCTCTGCAACAATTAAAACATCGGGGTGATATCAGCACTCTTCTCATCCTAAGCCAAAACATAGCATTCTACCAGCTACTAGGAAGAAAATTAACTCTGTTCTAACTGAAACCAGGACACTGGTGTAAGGAGCAAAAAGGTCAGCAGAGTTGCCGCCCTGTACTTTAAGAGAGCAAATTTTAGCTACTCAGGGAGTGAGTTAGCAGTGTCCCTGGGGAATTGGCTCTAGAGGTTGTAGGGTTCCATGAGAGCTGTTCGCTTTTCAAGAACTACCTTTTAAAAGCCCAGGAGCAGGCCATTCCATTGTGTCACAAATCAAGCTAGTGGGGCAGAAGACCAGCTTGGCTGAACAGGGAACTCCTCCTGGAACTTGGGCAGAAAAAGACAATGTACGATCTCTGGAAACAAGGTCAGGATTCACAGGGAGATTACAGAGCTGCAATTTGCATCTGTAGGGAGAAAACAAAAAAAGCTAAAGCTCAACTTGAGTTGACATTGGCCAGTGTGGTGTCAAACAAAAAAAGGCTTTTTCAAGTATGGCAACAGAAAGAGGAGGTCTAAGGAAAACATTAAACATTATGTTAATTTCCTTATGCCGAGTCTTTTTTGTCTGTGATGGTATTTGGTGAGGGATCTCCCTGTCCTTATCTCAACCCATGAGCCTTTTTTCATCATATCATCCTGTTCTTTTGAGAAGGGGGAGTGAGAGAGCAGTGTGGTGGAGCTTAGCTAGCCACTGGTGCGAAGCCTTAACAAGGGAGCAGGAAGAAGATTCGAGCAGGCTTTTGGGAAAGCTGTGAGATAGGTAGGTGTTGCATGTAGAGCTCTCCTTTCTCCACTAAACCTGTAAGAGATAAGAGCCTGTCCCTTGGGACAGTAGCTGCAAAGGAGGTGCCATTGGCCCAGGCCCCATGCCATAGCACCATCTACGTGCCCCTTGCAAAAAAGTATGACTTAAGCATATTTTTGAACTCAGAGTAATTTTTGTACAACAAACTGGATCAAACATGATGCATGTAGATAATATTCCAAAATGTCGAAGCTGGACAGGATTTTTTGCAACCCTGTCTAATAATTATGATTCATAGATCACTACAAGGAAGAAGACAAATATGAAATCTTATGTGCATTCCTTAAAATGACCTTACTGTGTGTTTTTTTTGAGGTATGCCCACTCTATAATTCTTTTTTCCCGCCACATCTTATGAAGCTGACAATTCATACACACTACGTCCACTATTGCTGATTCAATAGTATAGGTGACCTTTGAATGGTTAGGAAACCTCTATCAGTCATAATGTGTTTGAAATCGTCCTTGGCAAAATTCAGTCTCTAGAATGTTATTATGGGAAAAGTTGTTGTATATACTAAGGAATCTTATTGCTAAAACAAAGAAGACATTACTTGTGGTATTCAAGAGTCATTTTCAGTTGTGTTGTAGTTTGAACAAAGATTCTAATACACAGATCTTTATGCTTTTATTAATATGTGGCATGTTGCTGTGAAGATTAAAACAGTGCTAAAGGTGAAGCAGTCATTGTAGCAGCTGTAGGTTCTAAAAGGATAGTGTGAAGTCCTTTTAGATTTTTAAAAAGCTTTAAAAGCTTTTCTCGTGTAGCAAATTTAAATTTTGCTAATAACAGGACTGTTTGTGTTTTGTTTTTTTTTAATCAGTTTACATATCTCTTTCAGAAACATTTAACTTATTTCCCAAAGCCAGTGGACACAGGTTAAAATAAATAAA